TTCTAAAAAGGACAAAAAAGTAATTTAATAATCAAGTGTTTTTTCTTTTAATAGTAACATAATGATTTTGAAGATAATACTTTGCTTTTATTAAGTTTGAAGCATTTTTTCTTCATAGTATTTTAGCGTTTCACTTCAGTTTTAAAATTTTTCTCAACAAATGATTGGTTAAAAACAATAATGCAATTCAAATACTATGTCTTCTTAAAAAAAGTGAAAATTTTGTGCAAAAAATGGATCACACAGACCCTGCTATTTTTCTAATCTCTGATTGGCTGAATAACAATAAATATGAAAGACGCCTACGCAATCAGGCTTTCCCGCCAATATTTTGAAACGACAGCCTGCAGCCTGTCAGGTGACAGACAACCAAATAAATAAATAGAGTGAACGTATCCCATCAGTGAGACAAAAAAAAAGAAAAAAGTCAACCAGACACATTGTTGCCACGCTAAAGAAAATTAACTTGGATATTACAGTATTTACCAATTCTTCACCTGCAAGAAATTACTTTAAAAAAAAGATTTTTCCTGAAGCTATAAGTTTACCAAACACATTTTCAACTATTCAGGATATAATTCAATAAACATTATCACTCAGTTTTATTTAACAAAATTTGCTCTTGAACACTTTCTTCTAACCGTAAGACTCATTTTAATTATTTTCAGAAGTACAACTAAATTTTATTTAGTACGAAACAAAACTTCTTGAAACATCAAGTAAATATTCAAAGTTATATTTTATCAAACACATTCTCACAATATCCATATTATACAACATATTCACAAGAACATTTGTTCTAAAAAACAAACGCTTTTCATTGTGAGACTAGATAAAAAATTCTCTTATTTTTGTATCGTGAAATTTCTGTACCAAAAGATACTGTTTTGAAGAAACATTTTAAATATTTTCATTCATTTAAGTAACATTACTGAACTTTGAAAATCAGCTTAGCTTAGCTAAAATTTCTGAGCAATTTATTCTTAATAATTGTATTATTTGTATGTAAGTATTTTGTCATCGTTTTACGTATGTTGTCATCTTTTGATTGCCTTGTTATCCTTGTGCCATACATCAAAAATGAAATGTTTGTGGAGAAGGGAATTTTTACACACGCAGCCGACCTTATGTATCTAAAAACTATAAAGCCTTCTGATCACTTTTAAACTTATTTCACCTTCTCCTCCACAACTGTATGTTAATTGTTTTGGTAAATTACTGGTAATACCGAAAAAAAGACGATAAAGTCGGTATAAATAAAAAAAAAAACATAAAGTCAGTTTAAATGAAAAGACGATAAAGACGGTATAAATAAAAAGACGATAAAGATGCTAAAATTAAAATGACGGTATAAATAAAATGACAATAAAAACTGTAAATAAAAAGACGACTAAAAGCGGAATATGAGGCGAAAGAAAAAATGTAACGATAAAATAGCGAGAAACCCGAAAGGTAAGAGGAAATTTCGATGCAGGCTATAGCAATCCATGCATCCCTTTTCATATGCCCAAGCCTACGTCATTTTCAAAAATATACCTTTTTTTCAGCTGTTTTTGATTTGACGCTAAATTAATTGCAAAACCCATTCATCTGTGTAAATGTTAAGATGGCCAATTCTATTTGAATTTTATTAAAATTATTGCTTTTGAAACATAATTATTTTCATCGTTATCTTGATCAGTAAATGTCAGAATTCTCTTCGTTGCCATCAACGGTGATAATGATAATTATCATCTACGAAATGATTGCTATTATTCTCTTCAAAGTAATTATTTCAAGACGAGTTTCATCCAGTATGATCAACATAAGTTTCTTTAAGTCTATCATTATAATCCGAATTGGTAATATTTCAAGGGCGTCGGCGCCTTCATCATCATCATCATCATCATCATCATCATCATCATCATCATCATCATCAGTTGAAAGTTACCCTTTACTTTCTGTTTTTTCACCTTCATTTTTGTTAATAATTAGTGTTTTATATTTCCGAAATCTTTGAGTTTATTATTTTTCTTTATTTATTTCAGTTACTTTCTCTTTCTCTTCTGTATTTAGACTTCCCATCTGAACATCCAATTAGGGGAAAATATTATATACAAACCGTGTTATATATATATATATATATATATATATATATATATATATAGATAGATAGATAGATAGATAGATAGATAGATAGATGATAAATATACACATACATATGCAATCATATATCTAAAATATATAAATATATATACATACATACACATACATATATATTTGTATAAAAAATAATTCCACGTGGATAAAATCCAGGTAGAACTCAATGTCCAGGACAGAGTAAGGATATAATAAAAAGGCTTAAACACTAATATTCCATGGTCATAATTTATTCCATTGGAATCATAAATACGATCCAATTCATCAGACCTACAAATTCAAAAAGGAAACAGAAAAAACAACTCCGGGAATAAAAAAATAAAATTTAGTGAGAGTGCATGTATGAGAGTGTGGGGCGAATGTTAGAGTAAATGAAAGCTACAGGGAGGGGTAACAGACGTGAGAAGAACAGGAAGGTCTAAAGATGAAGGGGGGATTAAAATTTAACAGAGAGAAGTTTTAAAGAGGGGAGTCAAAGACGGTTTAAGTGAGAGAAATATGAATATTCTCGGATGTCTAATACATTAAAGATATACCGGAAAAGATACATTTTGTGGTGACATACACACACATGTAAGAATGAATTTGGATCAAATATGGATCAGAATCCAACAGAATGACAGGATAAAGAGGAAACGTTTATCAATCTAACCTTTTTCACCTTTATTGAATCTTCATCAGATAATGAGATATGGAGGAACAAAAGAAAAAGATTAGTTTTTCAGTTAGGCTTTGAATCCGTTAATTTCTTGAAACTTTGAAAGGGCGCGTTGCCTTCCCTTGAATTCAGACTGCTAAAAATTATACTGACGTTTGCTTAACAAGTTAAATTCACATAAAACCTGATTAGCTTATGAAGATCAAACAACACGAAAATTAAAAAAAAACAGGATTTCCTTCTTCCTTTTTTTCTCTGATAAAACTGAAACATACTAGATTGATAAACGTTTCTTAATGTTTGATGGATTTGATAAGTTTGATGCATCAAACATAAGTCAGCTATGTTATTAATCTAGACACATCAGACAGAAGTCGATATGTTAATCAGACAAATGTTAGTTATATTACTCATCTAGACACGACACTTGCCTGCTGTGTTATTAATCTAGAACCCATCACACAGACGTCGCCTGTTATTACATACATGAAGCAATATTTACGTTTTTTTAGTTAGACTTGGAATCCGTTAATTTTTTGAAACGTTGAATTCGGAACGCCACAAATTATACTAAGCTTGGTTTAAAACTGTGGAATGCATGTGCAGTATGATTAACCAATGAAAATTAGGCACAAAAGTAAAAATATCAGAATGTATTTTTTCTTTTTCTCCATATCTCATTCTGTGATAAGACTTTAATACACCTGAAATATGTTAGATTGATCTGTATCTTATATATATATATATATATATATATATATATATATATATATATATATAGCATAATGAGAAGCCACGTATACTTTCTTAATATGTATATGTAGAAAAAGTTTAAACAAACAGTTATTTCTGATGAAAAATTGAGGACAATTTGAAATATCAAATATATATATAAATAAATAAATACTTTCATAAAATAAAACATTATTATTTTTTAATTTGAAAATTTTTATATATATATATATATATATATATGGTACTATCAATAAAGAAAAACATTATTTTCTTTGAATAGGTCCTTTTGAAGGATGTAAGTCGTAGCATTCAATTATTTTTCCATTTTATCATACAATTACCAACTTTGAATTATCTATCTTTCCTTCTTCTTAATACGCCCGTTTTTTATTATCACAGTGGCCATATTGGCACGATTTATTACAACATTTTTCCTATGGAATTGTCTGCTGTTCAAATATCGACTGCTTTAGGTCAACATTCTCTTGGTTTGCTTCATAACTTATACTGAACTTTCTGCTCGGTTTTGATTTGAATTTCAACTTCGACCGTGGCTTTACATCCAAGGGTGAACTCTTTCGTTCCACTTGGTCTTTAAATTTGTAGATATACAGGCTGTAAAGATTTCGATCATGAAAAGAAAAATTGAAAACGTTTCTCCAGCGAAGTCTGAAAATCATTAATCTCTTCTTTTTTGTTTTAATGTCAGTGAAAACAATTATTGGAAATGATGAATGTGATCAATTAGGTAAAGACTACAATTACGGTAGCACATGCTTTAATGGTGTAGCAAAAAGAATATTGTCATTAAAGGATTGTAAATTATATTGAAACGACATTTACGCGTGTTTAATTGTACTATTTATTAGGCTGTCCGGCTAAAAATGGCTCATTTCAAAATCAACCTTTGCTCAATGTGGAGTAATATTAATATTTCACATTGCCATCCGTTGTAAATCTTTTTTGGCAAATTATTGGTCTACTTATTAACCTGTTCGCGTCTTAGAATATTTTTTATTTAATATTCTAGCTCCTAATTGAGGAAAAGAGAAAATATTTGTGTTTTAAGTGGTTTTCTTTTCGCATTAATCAATTACTATATACTATGCCATGAGAAAAATACTACACAGTGCCCAGTAAAAAATCCGTGAATTCAAAAAGAAATTTATTTAGCTATCATGATTCATGCACAAACGGAACAATCATCGTGGATGTTCGAAATGTTTGCCTGAATATTCAACACAAATTTGCAAGCGTGATAATCAGGAGGCAGTAGCCATGAATATTCAAGAAATTTGTTCAAGGTTATTCAAGGTCAATTATTCCTACAAAATAAAACAATGATAATAAATTTGCTGTTGTTTTACTGCGCAACCTGTAGTATAGAAAATTACTAGTAGTTGGCACCACCGCAAAATCATGTATCCTGACATCTGGTGAACCGGAGTGAACACCGGCCAGGTTATGCTTACGGTCATATCACATTGAAACACCAGTTTCCGTACGATCAGCGAAGTTAAGCAACGCCGAGCCTGATCAGTATCTAGATGTGTTAAAACTTGGGAATTTCAGGTGCTGTAAGCTTGAATGAACGGGTAGTATAATGGATTATTTTTCGGAATTGTTAATCAGAGAGCCGAGTTCCAATTCCGGTCGGTTTTGTTAAGTTCACTTACGCGTTTTTGAAAGGCATGAATCCACCTTTTTCTCCTCCCATTTATGAGCTAACTTGCATCACTAAATCATTATTATCTGATATAAAAGAATTCTTATAATCGAAAAATATTTTTGGTTTTAAATAAGATGAAAAGGGTTGTTACATATAAAATAACACGCCTAACAAGAGTGTATTAGGCTACCGCAAGGGGAAGTATCTCCTTGCGTGAGAAAATGAAATGCGTATTTAATTGGTGAGATGGAAATTGGTAAATATTTAGCAAAGTTTTTCTCCTAATATGTAGTGTAATGTTTTCAAATGTTTCATACTCGTTGAAATTGTTGTAGATCGATGGAACGGATATGATAGGACCATTCCCTAATATTGTGAGGGATAGCTTCTAGGACTGCGATGTACAGCAACTTAACATATCACTGGGTTTACTAGTGGCCAGAAGATCTCTCTAGAAATATGTTGAACCCTTTTCTTTCGATAGCTGCTGGCAGTTCCCCGATACTTGTAAATAAATGCAGACTCATGATTTAAAATATACTTCTCCACATTCTATAAATTCTCATATCGGCTCCTTTCGGTTGCACCATACATTGAATGTTTCTAGAATACTTCGCAGACCAATTCTGAGCAATTTTGCCCCGACGACATGGTACATTATCCTGCTGGGATAACCAATCATTTTTGGGTAGATGGAGTCCATGAATAGTCATAAATCAAATCAATATAACGGACAAAGTTCAATGGCATTTTTAACTAGAGTATCAAATCCATGTCATGTGGACACACAACATAATGTTTTGGAACCAGTACCAGGCTGCAAGGTGCTTTGTTTGTAATTGGGATAGATTATCTCTTGGTGGCTGTGTCACACGCGAATTCTATCCTCAGATCGAAAGAACTGGAAATGTGACCTGTTTGGAAAGCGCTACATGTTGTCAGCTCTCCACGGTCAAATTTGTGTCGATGAATCGCTATGTCTGTTGTCCTTGGTTGGTCTTCTATTCCCATAGGCCATGGAAACGAAAGAACGCTGAATTGGCCAGCTCTGGACCCACTGGAATTGAGTGTGAAATTGACTTGTGTCAGTGTCGTTTATCTGTTACGGCATACAACTCTAGCTAAGCGTCTCACGATCATTAAATACCCGTGGTTGGCTGCTGCCTTATGCATAGTGATTATTAACACTTCCCTTCAAGCATTCTAGGCAATCACGTGATATTGTAGAGTGGAAAATTGAAATATCTTCACAATGTCCGAAATATCTGTCTGTCACCCGTTCATACTCCGTTTGAAATCTAATAATTTATATCGACTTACCATGAGTATCCTGGCTGTTTTTTTTTGTATTGATTGTTTTTTACTTCTTATCAACCCTTTTCATCTTATTTAAAAACAAAAATAATTTTCGATTGTAAGAATTCTTTTTTGTCAGATAATAATGATTTACTGATGCAAGTTATACTAATTAGCTCATAAATGGGAGGAGAAAAAGGTGGATTCATGCCTTTCAATAATGCGTAAGTGAACTTAACGAAACCGACCGGAATTGGAACTCGGCTCTCTGATTAACAATTCCGAAAAATAATCCATTATACTACCCGTTCATTCAAGCTTACAGCACCTGAAATTTCCAAGTTTTAACACATCTAGATACTGATCAGGCTCGGCGTTGCTTAACTTCGCTGATCGTACGGAAACTGGTGTTTCAATGTGATATGACCGTAAGCATAACCTGGCCGGTGTTCACTCCGGTTCACCAGATCTCAGGATACATGATTTTGCGGTGATGCCAACTACTAGTAATTTTCTATACTACAGGTTGCGCAGTAAAACAACGGCAAATTTATTATCATTGTTTTATTATTGAGCGTGTTAGTGTTCCAAACACGAGACACAGGTTTATAGCTCACCAAGGTCGATTCAAGCATTCTTCATATCATAATGTGGATTGCACCAAACCTTATAAGTGAAATTGGGTAGAAGAGCGACGTCCAACCCGTGGCCCACTTAATATTTTCATACGACTTACTGTATCCTGAACGCTTTAGGTATATTTCCATTTACTTTAGTAACGTATGTCGAGATAAATTATTCGCAGATTGTACCAGTAGGTTCTATTCAACCAATACACACTAGAATGGGAAAAGTCACAGGCATTTGCCGAGACACACTGGCTGCTTCGTGGGGTAAGAGCCAGACCTAAATAAACATTATTTAGCGCATCTAGAGAACTGTTATGCCTACGGGGGGGGGTAGTACATACTACTGTGAACAATTATTTCGTGCATAAAAAAACGTCAAAACTGCTGAAAGAAATAGATTGAGTGATTCCTATTTAACTAACATTCTTAGAATAAAGACTCGTACCATAAAGCAAATATTGATAGTATTATAAATGGAAAGCAATGACAAAAATCACATTGACTTTATTTTATTTTGTGTAGGTATAATTTCTTTTTTTTTACTGTCAATAATGCAGTATTTTGCAATTACATATATTTGTTATTAAAATTTGATATTCACGACATTTTGAACTTTTTAAATAAAGTACTTTGGTGGCCCGGTGAATATACTTAAATTTCTAATTTGGCCCATTAAGAAAAGAGGTTAGACAATCTTAGGGTAGACGAAAGTGTTCAGAAACCGTACAAGTCATGACCAAGGGTTTGCGCAAACTTCGACGACCATTCGTTTAGTTTTACATACCAACTCTTGGGTGATCCCTGTTGATGAAGTAACTCCGCTGCCAAAAATCATGGACAATATAAAATCTCTGTGGTTTATTCATGTGTTTCAAAGTGAAATCAAAGTGCATTAGATAGGGTTCATTCATCAAATCGCTGACGTGAGGTCATACCCTGCTAACTGGCCGAACGGTTCCTCTTTTAAGCATCTTAGACACCTTCCTCCTGACAGATTAATTAGTAAAAGTTCCAGGCCAAAATATTTTGGTCAAGGCTGATCGGAGATAGACAGGATTGTCAATCCAAAATGTTTGAATTACCATGATTAATTAAAGGGTCATTCTATCACTCAGTGTTCGTTTAATTAGCAAAAATCAAATTTACATAGCTTAACCTTTTATTCAGAATTGTTATTTCGTCATAACAAAGATCACACTTCAGAATAAAAGAATGCAATTTAGTGTTGTATATATATATATATATATTATATTAATTTTAACATTGTTCTGAAATAAATGTTCTTTTATAAGACGCGCCATTCCGACAAAGACAAGAATTATATTCACGCTTGACGATCTCTTATAAAGATAGCTTTGAATCTTTGTATCAAGATTTCGCGAACAAACAACGCGACATAACGAGAATAGATCTTGGGATTTATTTGATGCTGAACCGAAAATTACTTGTAAAACACGAACCATATTTGCTTCCGCTTTAGCGAACATGTGAAATCTAAAACAGATGAGAAAGTATTTCAAGCGTAAATATAATAGAAAACGATTCTATTTTCTTTTTCAATTTTATGCAATTGTTTCTGTCCAAGGCGACTGTAGACATATTGATCATGACGTATGTTATTGATGATTAAAAACAAAAGAACTTGATCTACACAATTTTAAGTGCTTTGTTTCTAAGTAGTTCGAAGCAAGATTTACCTGCGGTTGCAAAATTCAACAATTATAATATTTCTTTAATTTTAATTCTAGTTTCAGAACTTGTCTATCGAAAAGGTACAATGCACGCGAGTCCGAATCTTGTATTCTTGGTTTGTTTTCTTGGAGTTGTTTTGATGAAAAGTAAATGAAATTAAGAATCGTACTAGTTTAAAGTTAAGAATAATAAGTGCTACAAAATAGCGGAAATTTTGGGGTCCCTGATCAACAATTTTCTGCAGAAGCACGGCACATATAAGAAGAAGAAAATTCAAGATTATATTAATATTGATTGAATTATGGTGCTCAAAATCTAACTACCATGAATCAAACTAATGTTGAATGATTGAAGGGTTTGATTCTAGAATTATAGAACATTGGGGTTAAAACTTTCAAAAGCGAAATACACGTCATTGCTTAAGAGTTTGAAAAGACTAGTGACAGAGGCATTTAAAAAACATTTGTGCAATTTATACGTATCTAGTGTAGCCTTGAAGATTGTCAATTGCGTTTTAAAAGTTTCGAAATAAAGATTGTGGCATATTTGATATGTTTCACCCTGGGGACTCAATCCGATATTGAAAAACTTATGAAAGTAACGACTGAATTGCATCTAAATGAAAGAACTAGAGATTTGAAGAAAAAAAACATAATAATCCCTCATGTTTAACTGTCCAGGAACATCGAAACCGAATTAGGAAATATTTCAGAGAGGGAACTTTCGTTTATTGAGAGTTTTCCCTTGCCAACCGAACAGAACATTTCACTCTTGCATCAGACTTTTAACCAGGAATACCAAAACTTTTTTTTTTATTTTTGCATAACATCGTTACCTGTGATAGGAAATGGGATTTGCGTATGAAGAGAAAACGAAAAAGACAACAGTGACCAGAAAATGAGAAACCATTGTCAACAGAAAAGCAGGATTCCATCCATAGGAGTCTTCGTTTTGTGTCTAGCGGAACATGAAAGATGTCGACCATTACAACATGGGAAAAGAATAACTGCAGAATTTCATTGCCAACAACTAGATCTGATAAACGAAGCATTTCGTCGAAAGTGTCCTGCTTTGGCAAAAAGAAAAAAAAAGTGTTACTCTCTAACATGACAGTTCAAGGGCACACTCAACAAAACAATTCCAAGAAAAAATATCGTTACGATGATGGGTATGCTTCCAAACCCTCCCACCATATTCACCGGATTTAGCATCTAAAGACTTCCATTTTTTTCGATCACAAAACATTTCGTAAGTTGCAGAACATTCAGAAACAAACAAACAAAAAATTCCCTGAAA